CATACATACACACACAGACATACACACACACATACATAACTACCTACCTACGTACGTACGTACGTACATACATATATACGTACGTACATACATACATACGTACGTACATACATACATACCTACCTACGTACGTACGTACGTACGTACATACATACGTACATACGTACATACGTACATACGTACATACGTACATACGTGCATTCATACATACATGCATGCATGCATACATGCATGCATACATACATACATACATACACACACATACATACATACATACATACGTGTATATATTTATATATAAGTTGTTGTAGTTTTTGTGTACCCCATGTTCGACAACGCAGTTCCGCAGTTCCCGCATTTGCAAGGCAAGATCTCAACACAACAGACGGGTGCAGATGAGACCCGCAGGGAACAGGAGCAGCATGATGAATACAGCGCCTGGGGCGGCTGCGAAGAGGAACCCCATGCAGGCCGAGCATTGGCCCAGATATTGTTGTTATCACTATTATCAGTATTATTATGTTTGTTGTTTTTTAAACAAATTATGACTTTGATATGTTGTTATTTTACTATTCTATTATGTTCTATTTGTTTTGTTTTTCTTTCCTTTTTCTTCTGATTGTTTTAATAACTAAATTCAATATTCATTTTGAAAAAGGTATGAAAAGCAGGATTATTGACTCACCTGCCCGCCTGTTTGCCTACTGACCTACCCGGTTTTTATGAACTCAGCCATATTGAGAATTTCGAGAATGATGCTGCCATCCCTGCATTCCACATGTTGATGTGGAGTCCAGCTTGACCCACAGGCCCTCTTGGCCTTCATGAGTTTTTTGCGAAGCTGCAGCATGGGAGGAAATTTGATGCAGACTTGGCGTAGCCTTCTGGATCCCGATGGCATTCTCTATGTCCAAAAGTCGGATGTCCAAAGGGCCTGTGCCCAGGTGGGCTGGCGTGGGGACGTCTCCGTTCTGTGGAGTGCGCTGGATGCATCCAATGGCCGGGCTGCCCTGGAAGAGTTTGGCTTTAAGGACACGGAAATTAAGAAACAACCGCACCCAACAAACATATTTTTGGGTTAGGTCAGGTATGTTGTAAATGGGATATGTATATGTATCAATATGTATCTATATATATATATATATCCATATATGTACATTTATATATGTCTTCCACCTAACTTCAACGAAGTGTTATCATTTCTAATTCCCCCATTTTTGGTGAGACGTTTTCTGTTTTTTGGTGTCCTTTTTTTAAGGGAAAAAAGGTGTACGACACCAGGAGGCCCGAGCCCTGGCGCTGTTTCGCTCCTGGGCCTACGCGGCCGCTGGTGGCATCCAGGAGATCTGGCAACGGCTGCTGTCCTTGGAGCGCGGCTTCCAACGGCGCCGCCGCTCGCTGCTGCCGCAGCAACCGTTGGATGCGTTGGATCGCCAGGCCTTTGCCTTTGCGATTGGAAGAATCCAAGCACCAGGCAGGAAATGAGGGTTTGAAAAGATCGACCTTTTGAAGGTGAAGTTTTTTGGACATCATCAATACATCATCATTATTCAAGTGGAATTAACGTGTACTGCTGAAGGGCACACTCAAACCGGAACACTGCAGCCGTTTTCTGGCCACTGCGCTGTAGCTACGCGTTTCGTCCTCTGTGGGACTCGTTCAGGCCGCGCTTGAAGCCAAAAAGGGCTTTGAAACGTATGCCAAATGTCTAGCAAGCTCCAAAAAGCATGCGCAACACTTGGCAAAAACAGCATGGTTTGTGCGCTTAAAAAACCAGAACCCACCTCCCACCACATCTGGTTGCGCAAAGTGCAAAGAAACGGAAGTCAAAGTGGTTAGTGCCAATTCAAACTGAAATTTCTCCTGAAATTGTTGCATTGGATGCTATAGGAAAGAAAAACTTCTACACGAGAAGTGAACCTAGACTGCACAAGAGACGCGTGTTTTTTCAAAACACGTTTTATGACTGAGACGTTCAAAGAAGAACTGTACTGCTGGCGGAAAAAGAACTTTCGTGGTTGCTGCTGACTGGCTGTCGGGCATTCTAGTTTCTTGACAGTTTGCATGGCAAGGCGTCGTGCCTCCTCTTTGCAGTAGCCTCTGTGTTGCAGTTTGTCAAAAAACAGGTCTAGGTGCTTGGCAAAAGCTTTGGCATTCTTCCGGTTTGTTCGGTGTAGCCTCTGCGTCTCACCAATCACCAAAGCTTTGAACACACTGGGTGGGTGACATGAAGTCCGTGGCAAGTACAAGTATGCGTTCTGCGGCTTTCGGAAAGTCTCAAAAGAAATGGAATGATCTCCCATGTGCAGTGTCAAACTAAGATCCAGGAAATTCACTGCCATACCGGAACCGGACATCTCCCAAACGATGTTCGGATGCCAGATGTTGAGTTCTCGAAGACACTCGTCTTTTGAGTCCAGAGGAAATATTGCAAAAGCATCATCTATGTAACGCTTCCACATGAAAATCTAGGAACATCTCTGAACAAGAAAACGTCAAAAGCAGCAAGGTACAAGTTGGCAAACACGACGGAGGCTTGCAATCCAGTAGGTAGACCACTTTGTACATGCCATATGTCTGCCTCAAATTCGACATATTGTACGGCAAGCAGAAACTCAATGAGCTTGACTATCATGGCCCCAAAACTGGGCTTCGAACTCCAGAAAAACCTCACTTTGCTGGCTATGACACTGAGGAAATGCCGTTGGTCAATGCTGGGGTATAGATTCCGCACATCAAACGTGAACAAAGCAAAACCAGGAGGGACAACGCAATCCACAAGCTGTTTCACAAGATCTTGCGAAGACTGAATGACATGCAGCTGTCTGTGTAGCATAGGCGCCAGCGCTTCAGTGAGAAAAACTGACAAGGGGCTAAACCAAGCCTTGCTCAGGTTCATGATTGGCCTGCCTACCACCGGGGACTTGTGCAACTTCACTCTGAGTCGAAAACTGCCAACATTGTTGGAACCGAAATCCTTGCGGATGAACGCTGCTAGTCTGGTGGATATGGAACCCGCAAGCACTGATTGCTGCAAAAAACTATCCAGCAGGAATTTCAAATTGGCAGGAATCCAGGAAGTCTGAGCGGGAGACTTTGTACGAGGCTTCCTCCAGCAATCTCAAGCACTCTTGCCTAACCCAGTGCTTGGGCACAATTGCATCACCAAGGTTCTTGTCGCAATCCACTACGCTGATTTCACGTCGGTGTTGCCACAGCCATTTCCGAGCAGCTTTGTCAATGAAATCCTCATTTTTGACAAGTTCTCGAGGAGAATAGCTACTGAGTTCTTCTCGCAGCAGCCTGCCATATGCAGAAATGATTGGATCCTCTTTGGGCTTCCAAGCAGTTCGGAGACGGCAACGTCTGAAAAACGTAGGTTCAAGTGCATGTCTGTCAAAAAACATTGCCGTATTCAAAGACCTTTCCAAAGCAGAAACGCTTGTCAAGACTTTAGCAGCTGAACTGGCACATCTGTCCGCCACAAACTTACCGCCTTTCGACAAATACGCGAGGACATACGTGGGGATCTCAAAATCTGGCGAAGTCAAAATATGAACTGGCATGCAAAAACGACGTTCAAGCTGTACAAGGGACATTTTTCTCAGTCTAAACTTGAGGTACATGTCAAAGTCGATGCTCCAATCATCCTTCCAAAAACTTCGCCTCCTAGGTCTGTGTGATAGTCAAGACCTGTTGTGTGGGGCTGGGGTCTTCATACGCACTTGCTTGTGACCGGTGCCCTTGGACTGCCCTTTGCCTCGGGTCTGCTTTCCTTTGCCCTTGCCCTTACCCTTGCCCTTGCTTTTGTTTCTGCTGGATGCCCTAGAAGCCCTCGAAGACTTGGCACTCTTCGCAGACTGGCGGGATCTGTGCGAAACAAGGCTGGACTGCCTACTCTTGATAGACGTTCTGGAGCCCGATCTGCCACGATCTTTGTCATTGGATCCCATGGGCTTGGACTTGGGCTTGGACACAGTTGAGCCGACCGAGATATTGTACTTCTTTGCCAAATCTGGATGCTGCTTGACAAAATAGGCCAGGGCACCAGTGGTTGGTACAACATGCTGTGACTTTTGTGTTCCGCTTTTTCCTGACAGAGTTGCAAATTCCAACACTGCCATGGCTAAAAGCTTATTGACGTCCATAATCCTGAACTCGGCTTCAGCTTTTGTAAGTTCATCCTTTCTCTTCTGTTTGGATTCCTTGTCTTTCTCCTGCTTGGACATGGCCTTCGGATGCTCTGTTCGGAAGACCAGCTCAGCAAACACCTTAAGTTGTTCTTGCAACCGAGTCTTGGCCTGCGCGCTCACCAAATTGCCATGCTTCTGCTGCCAACAAAGAAAACGATCTTCAAGAAGAATGAGTTGCTTTGTTGGGTGGGCTTTGTCCTCAAAGAAAGCTGCGCACTGTCGCTGGTAAGCAAACACAAAGCTCTGGCATTCCTGAGCATGCCGGCGTCTCATCGCTCTGAATGCTGCCTCAATGTCGAACGGACCTGCAACGTCAGCTCTGTACATGTCCCTCTGACCTTCTTCAAGCAAAGCCGAAGTTGTGGTCAACTCCTGGGCGTTGGCTTTGAAAGCCTGAGGCCACTGCCAACTTCTGGTGCTTTCATCTTGGAACTGCTTGTGAAGTTCACCAGACACTGCAATGTCTTGATACTTCTGCTGCAAATTGGCTTGTGTGACATGCTGTTGCAGAGCATTGCGATAGTCACAGGCCCACTCCTTCAAAACAGGTTGGAGCGAAGGATCGAAAGTGCCGAGCATGTCTTCTGGATTGTTGTATGCCGTGGGTGTCTGTGTTTGCTGCCTGAGCACATCCATCTGTTGCTGTAGCAACTGGTTCTGCACCTGCTGCGACTGAACCAACTGCAACAAAAGTTGCTGGCTACTTGGCATGTTCTGTGCTTCTGCTGGAGCTGGCAATCCTGGAGGCGCTGTGAAGGCTGCATGAGCTGGGTGTGGATGACCTTCATTAGGCCGACTACGACTTCG